ACCCCCTTCCCAAATAGCCATCATGCCCCTCATTAATTTTATAATTAATTAATTCTTTTTTAGTTACACCCCTACCCCAACAATCCAATGGGATTTCATAAAATTAATGAGCCCCTTCAATAGGTGTGTGGAGAAAAAGGCTCATATCCTATCAGTTTTATATCGTACACTCCTTCTCCTCCTCATCATATCCTCCTTAATTTTTTTTTCCATTAAAGGTTGTATCGTAGTTTTCAAGAATATATCTTTTGCCACCTTTTCTTAATCTCTTCTGCCTCTGTTAGGTCACTGCCATTTTGGTCCTTATCATGCCCATCTTTTTATGAAATGTTCCTTTCATATCTCCAATTTTCTTGAAAAGATCTCTGGTCCTCCTTATTCTATTGTTTTCTTCTATTTCTTTGCACTGTTCATTTAAGAAGGTATTCTTATCTTTTCTAACTATTATCTGGAATTCTGCATTCAATTGGGTGTATCTTTCTCTTTCTCTCTTGCCTTTCGTTTCCCTTCTTTCCTCAACTATTTGCAAAGCTTCCTCAGACAGCCATTTTGCTTTCTTGCATTTCTTTTTCTTTGGGATGGTTTTAGTTGCTACCTCTTGTACAATGTTGTGACCCTCCATCCATAGTTCTTCAGGCATTCTGTCTATCAGATCTAATTCCTTAAATCTATTTGTTACCTCTACTGTATATTCATCAGGGATATGATTTAGTCCACACCTGAGTGGCCTAGTGCTTTTCCCTACTTTCTTCAATTTAATTCTAAATTTTGCAATGAGAAGCTCATGATATGAGCCACAGTCAGTTCCTGGTTTTGTTTTTACTGACTATATAGAGCTTCTCCATCTTTGCCTGCAAAGCACATACTCAATCTGATTTCTGTATTGATGGTCTGGTGATGTCCATGTGTAGAGTTGTCTCTTGGGTTATTGGAAAAGAGTGTTTGCTATGACCATCATATTGTCTTGACAAAATTCTTTCAGCCTGTGCCCTGCTTCATTTTGTACTCCAAGTCCAAACTTGCATGTTATTCTGGTTATCTTCTGGCTTCCTACTTTAGCATTCCAATCCCCATGATGATAAGCACATCATTTTTGGTGTTAATTCTATAAGGTGCTGTAGGGTTTCATTGAACTGATCAATTTCATCCTCTTCAGCACCAGTGGTTGGGGCACAGACTTGGATTACTGAGTTATTGAATGGTTTGCCTTGGATTTGAACTGAGATCATTCTGTCATTTTGGGGATTGTATCCCAGTATTGCTTTTTATACTCTTTAATTGATTATTAAAGCTACTCAATTTTTTCTGAGGGATTCTTGTCCGCAATAGTATACCTGATGGTCATCTGAATTAAATTGACCCATTCCTGTCTATTTTAGTTTTCTGATTCCTAAGATGTCGATGTTTAGTCTTATCATGTCTTGTTTGACCATGTCCAGCTTGCCTTGATTCATGGATCTTACATTCCAGGTTCCTATAGAAAAAAAATCTACAGCATCGGACTTTCCTTTCACCACAAGATACATCCACAGCTGAATGTCCTTTTGGCTTTGGCCCAGTTGCTTCACTCTTTCTGGAGCTACGAGTACTAGCCCTCTGCTTTTCCCCAGTAGCATATTGGACACCTTCAACCTGAGGGACTCATCTTCTGGCATCATTTCTTTTTTCTTTTGGTACTGTCCATGGGGTTTTCATGGCAAAGATACTGGAGTGGATTGCCATTCCTTCTCCAATGGATCACATTTTGTCAGAACTCTCTGCTATGACCTGTCCATCTTGGGTGCCCTGCACAGCATAGCTCATAGCTTCATTGAGCTACACAAGCCCCTTCGCCATGACAAGGCAGTAATCCATGAAGGGGAAAGAGAGAATAGTACTGTTTAAAGATAAAGAAGTAAATATGGAAGAACCCCAACAAGGGGGGGGGGCACAAATTGGGGAAATAGTATTATACATATTGATATATAAAATAATATATTATAATTATAATGAGCATATTAAGGTTAGAAGTTGGAAGATAAAAATGTATATGTATATGTAATTGTATTATTACTGTCAACACTGTGTAAAAAAGTGTATTGACCCAGTCATTACACTGTCCACAAAATATGTTGGTTGTTAAAGGAAAACTGCAAATAAAACTTATACCCCCCCAAAAATTGGTCAGACTTAAAATGAACAGCTGTGGTGTGAAGCCTAAATTCCTACTGATTTGATCTACAATAGAAGTCTTAAGATAGGAGTTAGACCATGAGTGAGAGCTATACTTTGTCCCCTTTCTTTTCTAAGTACTATCACTCACCCTCATATCTTCTTACCAAATCCTAATGTTTAGTTTGTTAGAAAATTACTAAATGCTTGGTTAAAGAATAGCACCTTAAATGTTTAGTTTTAATTACATGTAAATAAAATTTACATGAAATGTTTTTCATTTTTATGTACTTTTTGAATACAGCTGTGGGCAAGCATAGCCTTTGCCCAATAAAAATGGCACTTCTGACATAAATACTCATTGTTATATCAAAGGTAGACTTTAGACCTTTTCAATGAAATCACATCTAAGAAGTCTATAAGGCTATGGTAACCTATGCATGTCTGTTATATTAACTGTTTATGATGAAGTTGGGGCAGTAGAACAAAACAATCATTGGAAAAATGCAATTTTGAGAAGTAGTCTGAGATTTCAACACTTTTTTTAATATATAATTTGTACAATAAAGATCTGACAACTAGCCCTATTGAGATATATTCTAGTTGTGTCATTTCAGTCAGGATATATTAAAAGAAAACTAAAAGTTGACATTTGTTTGAAAGTTGACTTAGATTTCAGTCTGCCCAGCTTGAACACTATTTGCCATTGTATTTGGCTTAAAAGATTTAATTTTCCATCATGTGGAAAATCCTGAATTTGTGGACCCTTAACTAATAACTGCAGAGAATGTGAACAAGAACCAAGGACAGAGCTGAATTGGTTGTAAAATCAACAGATGGAAAATCAGCAAGATGACCAGCAGGCTTAGATTGGGTCTTAAGACCATCTTCTATTTTCACAAAGACTAGTAACTAGCATCTGCTCCTTGGAATGACAAGAATGAAGGATAAACTATAGACATATTCACATGTCAAAACACATGACCTATTGCTCTACTACCTCAGAGCATTTCATTTCTTAACTAGCACTATCCTTACTTTGCATAAGCAACACGGTGCTTTATATTGAGACACCAAATGCATAACTACTGAGGGCAGCACTGTAAAATATTCTGTGGATATTCTTCTCCAAAGGGAAGTCCATGTGTTGTGTGATAATAATGATCCACTAAAATATAAAACAAAACAATGTAAATAAGGTGTCATTATTAAAATGACCCACAGCTCTGGCATAGATTGGTGGACAATTATAAAGGATATAAAAAAGGTACATCAACAGTCATCAATAATTAATTATATTACATAGATAGAAAAAGCTCCCAACTTTGTAGAAGTAACCCTTGCTTACTGCATCTTTGAATGATCATTCATAGTTACAAGGGGGCGGGGGGCAGCTTTGCAAGTGATCCTTGCATTTTATAATCATAGCAGGATCCCAAAGTCACATAATCATTTGTTTTGCTTCACAACCAGCTTCTGACAAAGAAAGTTAATGGAGAATGTGGACATAAAACACAATAACAGAATAACAGAGTTGCAGAGGACTTTGGCGGTCTTCTAGTCCAATCTCTTGCTCAAGCAGGAAATCCTATACCATTTCAGACAAATGGTTGTCCAATCTCTTTTTAAAAACCTCCATTGTTGAAGCACCCACAACTTCTGGAGGCAAGTCATTCCACTGAATATTGATTAACTGTCAGGGAATTTCTCCTTAGTTCTGGATTGGTTCTCTCCTGATCAGTTTCCATCCATTGCTCTTGCCCTGCCTTCAGGTGCTTTGGAGAATATTCTGCTTAATGACTGTGATGATTCACTTGATGACTGAATGGAATGTGGTATTATCCCATCACAGTTACATGATGTTTTCTTTAACTGCCATGGTGCCTTGTGACAAAGTTGGCTATCCCAATTGTGATCACTAAGTCAGAACTGCTTGTATTGTCAATAAAATAAGCCGAAAACTGGTTCCTCGATCATGATATCAATTCTGATATATATATTTCTTTAACCATAGGATAAGCATCCTATTAATATAATCGTAACTTGATATTTTTTTCCCCCACATTTTGCCTGGAATTGCATGTCTGCATCTTATTATCTTTTTCCTTCCTCAAGGTTACTTTCAACTCAATTACAATATCAAAAGGCATTCTGAATCCCAACCACTTTCTTCTTTCTATATAAATATACATCTTACTGCCAACCCAAGAAACAGGATTTAAACATAAAAATCCTATTTTTTTAAAAATCCTTTCAGTTCCATACATAGGACCCCAAATCTCATAAGGGTATCAAATCTTAGGTTTGTTGATTTTCCTGCAAAAATCTCATGACATTTAAAGTGACATTACCAAAAAAAAAGAGACTCTCTCAAGATTTTGACCCTTTAATTTTTTTTTTCTGTACTGGTAATAGAAATAGCCTTCAGTGATTTGCAGAGCATTGATTGGGAACTATTATTCTTTGGTGCATATGTAAATAACACTATTAGTCAATATTGAGAATTCGGTTCTGCTAGCAGCAGATGTTACTCTCCTAAAAATAAAAGAAAAAATAGCTGCTATGAACTCTGTGTGGTGTCAGTAAGGGCATTTGGCCAGTAAATGCTCACCTCCATCTAGTTACCTCAATTCTATGCCAAATTAAAAGATTACAGAGTAATAAAAAGGGAGTTTTTAATTGTATAATATTTACAAGATGTCAAAGTTGCAGCATTGTTCTGTGCTTAAAAAGTATATACTTTTTAAATTTATGCTTCAAGCAGCTGTGTTGCTTTTCCATTAATATAAGGCAAAGTCTCTCTGTGGACCATTCCTCACACCTTTTCAAAAGAAAAAAAAAGAAGTGGCTACAGAGCATTTATACACTGTTTATTCATGCAATTTCATAATTAACACAAATCTCTAACATAGATAGCTTCTTTGTATTCAATAAGTTTGCCAGAGAAAGTACAGAGAAAAGAAAGAATAAAGACTTTTAAAGGTCTCCAAGCATTCATTTAACAGCTGTGTGGAAAAAGGAATGCTTTTAATTAAGACAGCATTATAATCATGCAGATTTTATAGACTGACTACCACAGTGTTCTGCTCAGAACCAAAGCTAAGAAAATTCTCCTCTACAATCAAAGATTCACAGGAATCAGCACTTTAAAAATGTTGGACCACATTCATTCACTTTTACACGGCAAGCATTTGAGATAGTAAAATATCTATTATTCTCATACTTATTTCCATCCCCCATGGCTAGAACTGCATAATTTTGTAGTTGAAACAAAACTAATTTGTGCCTTTTACCTGAAACCTATGGATCTGCGTAAACTGTACAAGCCAGTCAGCTGAAAATTGAGCCATGCCACCTTATGAAAAATCTTTCTGTGTTATGCCTTCTATACCTTGTCAAAATTCCACAGCATGACACACCTCTAATGGACAATCATTTGCATCACAGCAACCGGTCCCAGGGCTCTTTCCAAATAAAGAACATAGATTGTCTCTAATTAGCTTCTTCTCACTGACAGAAAGCTCTTTAATCCAGTAGAAGAAGCACTGAATGGAATAGGAGTGAATATTAGATTGTCTCTAATTAGCATTCTCTCACTGACAGAAAGTGCTTTAATCCAACAGATCCACTGAATGGAAAGAGAGTGAAATATTTGGAAATTTTTCAGTCTTCAAGTTGCTGTAAAAAGTCCTCAATCAATGAAAGGATCACTCATCTCAGATTACTTATTCTTTGCTGATGTAAGCTTTCAATATCTCCTCCTATTGAAAGAACAAATATTTTTGAATTATCTGATGATAATAATTTCCAAAACATTTTAAACATTTATAAATTCAAGTTAAATTATTATTATTATTGTTGTTTAATAAAATCTTTTTTTTTCTCCATGTAAATTTAAATTTATCCAGTTTAACAGGAGTTTTCCGGAATCTTTTTGTCCCATGTTTCAACCAATGTCCTATGCTGGCTTTTTAATATGCACATATATAGAATTTTCAAGAATTATAAAAAAAGAAGAAAAAACAGCATTCTAACTGGACATTCTAAGACTGCCAGTCTTAGAATGCCAGGCAAGTAATTGCCAGGCATTCTAGAAAAGGAATGATAGTCCTAAGTAATACCGGACCCAAAGTTACAAATATTAAGATATTTTCTTAGAATCTGATCATAGAATAAAATACAACAATATATGTAAGTAAGGTATCTGCAGATAGTAGATCAAGGGAAAAAAATTTTTTTTGCCTTTTTGGTTTGCTTGTTTCATTTTAAAATACCAAAACAGGAGGTGTTACATTTGATAGGAACAGATTAAAAGAGAACATTGGAGCTGAAAATAGAAACATTATTTATATATTTATAAACATACTGTGTTTTTTTATGCTGCTACAATAAACAATTATGCATACAAACATATACAGACAGAGAGAAAGAGAAAGACTATTCCATCATAAAAAGGAGAACAAATAAACAAAAACATTTTCTTGTATTTATTTTTTTCTTCATAACATAGTTACTCATGTGAAATGCTAGTGGATAATGAAAACTAGAACATTTCTCTCCTGAAAACTTTCACAACAGCAATATTTATGCTTCCCAGTCTCCATAACAGGTAAAATTAACCCATATTCACTTTAACATCTGTCAGTCTTGAAATGCAGAAGTAAATACAAAATACTTTGAGCCTAATATTATTCACCCTTTCATCTTTCAATTGACCAATAGCAGAATGCAAAGAACAATATTCTAACAGCACAGGTAGTCTTTGACTTATGACCACTACAACGAAAATATTTGCGGTTAAGTGGTATTGTCATTAAGTGTAAAATCGCACCCAATTTTACTATATTTTTTGCCATGGTTATTAAGCAAAAATTATATAGTTATTTATTTGAATGCTATTGCCATCATATCTTCAAACAACTCTCAGCAGCTCTCAATTCAGAAACATACACTAGAATTAAAATTCTAAAATGTTCCTAAAACAATAAAAACAATAAAATACTTGTTTCTTTGTTTTCTCTAGCTACCACATGTCCATGAAGTGATGTCTTACAGGCTTCTCCATTGATTTTGCTTTTCAGAAGCAAGATGAAAAGATTGCAAATGGTGATCATGTGACCTGGGATGCTGCAACTATAAATAGCACACGATAAAGTGATCACAGCGACACTGCAACACTCATAAGAGTGATGGCTTGTCATAAGTCCCTTATGACAAGCCACAAGTCCCTTATGAAGTTATGACAGTGTCATAAACACTGTCATAACTTCAAATTGTTGCCAAATGAATGGTCATAAGTCAAGAACTACCTGTATCCCCAAAGCTATGACCAGCCATAAAGTAAGTCTATGCAAGAAAAAGAATGCTTACATAAAACATATTGAAAAAAGAAATGTTAAAAGTTGCTAATCCTCCTACACATGGAGATACATCAGTGATAGGTAGCTCCCGGTTCAGTCTGGTTCTATAGAACTGGTAGTAAAACTGGCGGGACGCTCTATCCACCCACCACAATGTCATCATGGGTGATCTCCTGCTCCCGCTGCGAACCAGTAATAAAGATAAGTGGAACCCACCCCTGAAATACATGTATCTTAGTACATAGAATTAAGTGCTTTTGTCTGATGGTTACCATTGTAGGAAATTACATGAGGAAACATCAATCATAAAAAATACAAACATTGAATCCTTCAGTTATCTGATGTATTAAAAGTTCTTTTTAATTGTGAAGGAGAGATACTAGTTTGCTGGCAGTTGTACAGCTGTAAATTTTGGCTGCAGACTTGGCTATGACTATCGTCGTAGGTTGCTACAATAGCTAATTTTGAGGGAAAAAGAAAAATGTTAATCAGTAAAACAATAGATTTACTCCAGGAATAAGATGCTAAACTTCCAAGGATAGGAGTAATGGGTAGCTTAGGAACAGAAATGGAAGGCATGGTGAATCAAGTGGAAAATTGGACTCCCCCATGATCAGTAGAGCTGCAGTGATTCAAAGGAAAATACCTGCTTTGCTGTGGTTTCAGTGAAATAGCACAGAACCAGAAATAAATTGACTTAGTGCCCAAATACAGACTATGTCATAAAATAAATCTGGTCGCATCTCCCAAAAGGTGTAAATGTCTTGTGCAGCCTGCTTTATCTTCAAAGAAGTTACCTAGGAAGAAACACGGAACATCGCCCCTTTGATAAGGCCAAGAGAGGTATTAATTGCTTCAGAATGAGTAGCTACAATACATGATCTATTTGCATAAATAGAAACATTTGTCAATTCTCTATTAATTCCATTAAAGATTGTAGGAAAATATTAATGTCATAGAAAATATTGTTTAGATTAACAAATGTTTACCATGAATGTAATAGAAATTCATAGAACAATCTTTCTGTTTTTTTTTCACAAATTCTAATGAAATTCAGCACTGAGATAAAATGTGTGTAAGGATGCATTAATTTTAAGAGAATGGATTTATGCTGTGCTAGAAATAAATGGTTCAGATTACTTTTTAAAATTGTTAATCCATTTTTCCATATTCACAGGACTCTCTCAATAAAAAGCTACATTACTTAAAAACAACAAAGATGTAATGAGGTATCTGTTTCAGAGACATGGATTTTATTAGCAGTTGTACTTTTTGAATTTTTTTATAGCTGAAAATGAAATTTCTTGGGGAAAAGTTGCTAAATGCACATATTATTCTTTCATTAACAAACACTGCACTACTCTGAATCTTTAGGAAAGGTTGTGTATGTACTATAGGTGTATACAGTATGTGTTTATATTTGTATGGCTGTTTGTGTGCCTGTGCATGTGTGCACATGTGTGTAGGTAAGTTCAAGAAAAGATCTGAAATTTGTCCTGGCTTCTCAGAATTAATTGGAGTTCAAGATGATAATTACTGATTCTGTCAGATAAATTTATTCTGATTATTCTGCTGTATTAGTGCTGTCACATTGAAAAAAAAAGGTTAATAATATTTAAATTAGCTTGTCTCTAGTAATTCCCATGAGTTTCACAAGTTATCAAGGCTGTAAAAGTGTAGTAAGGCATTGGAAAAAATATGTGTATTCATGGGACTGATTTGTGCAAAAATCATGGAATCTTTCAAACTTGGTACTCAATTCCAAAGCTGGGGAAGGCAGAAATTGTGTGGGAGAAATAATACACCAGTGCAACACCTCTAAACATTTTGCTTGCTTCAGCAACCAACCACAAGCATTCTATTTACCATCAGACCTCTCTGAAATAAAAAAAAAGTTTGTTTTTTTCTCCTGAAAAAATATTTTCTCTATTGGATTTAAGAAGATAGGAACCTTCCAATAGTTGTTTCTAAATTCATGGTCAACAGTGAGTGCTGCATGGAGGTCTGTCATAAAAAGATTTATCCACTCTCAATTAAATTGCATGCTTTAAATAACCAAACTGTAAAATAAAAGCAGGAACAAATTTACATGGTACAAAATTAAACACAAATCTGCAAATCTGAATCCATACTTACTATTTATGTGACCTGTTAATAATTTCAAAATAACAAAAGAGTGTATATGGCACATGCAGGGGTTTGGGTGCCCTTTTAGACACCACTTTATAATATTTTGAAAAAAAATCCTAAAACTAGCTTAGGATCTTTGTATTCTTGCTCAAGATTCTCTCTGCTTACTCATCATCCCTACAAAATTCTCCCAACTCAAGAATGTTCTTGTATTTGTTTGCATGCACTATATTCATAAATGTTCAATAATATTCAAGTTTAGAAACCTAAGAGCTATTCAAAATGTTATCTTTGATGCTTTATCTTTAAATACTTCATGGTGGATATGAAGGTATGTTTCAAATATATTGATTCAGATTGGCCAGATATTTCTATAGATTCAACCGAAAATAAGTTATTCATTCATTCATTCATTCATTAAATTCTTAACCCATAGTAATACTTCTACAATACTACATGCATGTTTTCAAGCTGTGTTTCCAACGGCTAGGGCCTGAAGATGTAACTTTAACAACAAAGCATGTATTGCCCTACAAAGCTAAGAGCTGTTCCTTTTTATTTACATTGTGATATATTCACCAGAAAAGCAACCTCTAGGCAATTTGGATTGTATTTATCATATTACTCAAAACTATACAATATCCAGATGTCCATACTAAGCTGCAACATCCAAATCTGATGACTTCTACATCACCATAGTCTAATGTAAAAAAACAAAAATGGCTATCTGTAGCAGGAAGAAAAATATTTGGAACAAAAACTATAGACTGAAATGTACTGCTGTTGTAGTGCCAAGAATACTGTTTCCATAAGATTCAGTGGATATAAATGAATTATGAATAAATTAAACTATTGCTTATCTCTGGGAATCTTGACGTTGTGTATAGAATCTTTAAAGAGTCCTTAGTCATTCTGTCTAATGCAAGGAATAAAGTATGTTTTTCCCCCGAAACTGGATGAGGCAATTGAATATATATCACTTTCACCCCTATCCTTATATTGTATTCAAATGGAATAGATAAAATACAGTGTTATTTGCACTGAATGGAGGGTGATCTTACATAATCTTGTAAAACTTAAAAGATATATGGCAATAAAAGTGGATGTTGCTACCTGAGACATTGAAGATAAGCTCACTTTTACTAAAGACATCCTGAAACCCTTCTCCAAAGTTGGATTAAGTGGACTGTACTAATATTTGCAATTTATCAGTCTTTTATAAACAGATGATTTTTTTTATAAATGGTCAAGCCGTTGGCCACTATACCCAT